ATCCTGACCTTCCCCCTGCTGCATCCCCCCCCCACCACTTTGCGCCCAACTGATATTCCCACCCCCCTTCTCCTATCTAAATCCTAATTCGCCTATTACCCTTACCACACTATTGGCTAGCCCACATCGCTAGGATCGCTCTCAACTCACTTTATTATTTTATTTTTTTTCTTTCCGAAAATCATCTGTGAGGATTGAGCCCTCAAGAAGGGGCCTTGCCATGATGTACATGTTCTGGGCTAAGGCCCCAGCAAGCCTAGTGCCTGCCCTAAGTGAAGGCGGGCCAACAAATCAACAAGAGCCCTCTGTGCAAACATTTCCCGAAGTCGGGGTCCATACAGTTGCAGCACGCCAGTTGGTTGGAGTGCACCGAGTCTCGAATCTCTGCAAATGTGGAGATCCCAGGGCCTCTGAGTTAGTTAGGCCCTGGGCACTCGAACGTGAGGCCAACAATGCATGCTGGGTATAGAGGCTGAAAATGCCAAAGGGAAATCGGCCCACTATCTGAATCTGGCCACAGGCCTTGATGAAAGAGGCGCAACTGCATTGCCCCGGGCCTCAACTGTATCGGGCTGGGTTCAGCCACTGGGGCCCAGTCGCAGGCTGAAGGGAGGCCGCCCACACGCAGCACTGGCATATAGGCAAGCAGGGCGAGTGTTACATCTTCGACGCCACACGGGTCCTACCGGACCCGACTTAGGGCCAGAGGGACACAGTAGGGCCTAAAGGCCCGACCTTGGGGGTACTACAGGCCGTAAAGGCCTCACTTTGGACCAGACCCGACGGGCAGGCCCAAACGACATTACCGTTTGGGCCTGGCGGCGCTCTTGAGGCTGCCGCCCGCCGGTTGGGGCTGAACCGTCAATCTGAATGGTTCAGGGCTCGGCCAGGCCTCGCAGCATAGAGGCCGGCCTCTGCCCCACCGGTACAAAAGTACCGGTCCAGCCTCACTTCGGGTATCGAACCACCGGCAATCTACGCAGTGCGTTATGGTTAGCGCCAGAGCGCTAGCGCTATTCTTAGCGCAGGAGCACGAGGAGCAGCAGCGGCAGCGGTAGCGCAGGAGCGGCAGCGAGCGGAGCAGCTGCAGCGGCGACTGAGCGAGATCGGCGGCCATAGCCGCCTGAGGTATCGGGAGCTGGAGGATCTCTCCTCCCTCCCATCGCCAGTCCCCTCTCTCTCTATCTCCTCCTCGACTCCCTTCTTCTTATTCTTCTTCTTCTTCTTCTTCTTCCTCTTCTTCTTCCTCAGACTTCTTCTTCTTCTTCTTCTTCTTCTTCTTCTTCTTCTTCTTCTTCAGACTGGAGACTTATACTAGTTGGACAGAGATCAGAGTTCGACTTCGGTGGTAAGAGGCTGTGGTACTTACCGGGTTCGAGACTTGGAGATTGTCGGGGATGATACTCGGCTGCATCACAGATTGGACACCGGTTACATTAGGACTCTGTATCTCCGACATTGGTGACTTATTGTCCTCGACATTTTGATCTTGTTCGATGACATTTTGGATTACCATATCGGTGACCTACTGGTTTCTATCTCGGTGATATCTGGTGCTACCTACATCTCCCACCTCCTTCGTCTCTCCTCCCACCTTCATTTGTGTATGTGTGTACAGGGCTGAGCATCGTCTATGTATGGCTCAGACCCCACCATCTCACGATTGTATGTGTGTGGAGTGATATCTATGTGAGTCAGTCTATGTGAGTCAGTCCGTTTCTCAGACTTCCGTTGCATACATACTCATCCTATATTGGTTGATCTTTGGTTCTGCCCCATACTCGTTGATAAAATCACGAGTATGTAACAGCTTTGGTATCGGAGCAGACCATTTCACGGATCTGCTCACCAGGTAAGTCTGATTAGGAAGAAGATTGCTTTTTCAATCTTCCAAATCAGCTCTGTATTACTATCGAGTTCAAAGTTGCAATTTTTTTTTCTTTTTTCGGTATTCTGTTTATTTCGGCATTTCCGTTTCAATTCGGTATCCGGACTTGTAATCCGGATTTCTGTTTTATTCCGGTATGCTGTTTAATTGGGTTCCGATTAATTAATACTTATCCGATAATTTGTTAGATTCGGATTTCTGATTTTAAAACGTTATTAGTGTTAATCAGCATCCTGTTTAATTTCGGCATTCTGATTTCAATTCAGCATTCCGTTTTTACTTTCGGCATTCTGTTGTAAATCCTGCATTTCGTTTTTCTTTTGGGATTTCCGTTTTCTTGCAGTATTGGAAAGTAGGGTTATGAAAAATTTTTGGGTGCTTTAATCAACCTGGGAATTTCGAACGTTTTGGAACCGTAATACCGGACATTCCGCGGAAACGCGGAAAATTAGGGTTGGACTCCGAAATTTTCGCAGAATTTTTTTTTCGCTCCCTTGTTTGAGAAATCCCGAAAACGGACTTAGGCCTTTAAAAATCGGATTTTTGCCGGTGGAAATTCCCGAAATTTCACGTTTTTGAAAATTCGAGTGTTTTTTCTCCTGATTTTTCCGAATTTTTTTTTTGGCAAACTAATCCGAATCTGACCCTCAGAATTGCAACTTCCGGGTAGTTCACTAATTAAACGGTGAACTCCCGGACCATACATTGATCTCAACAGATACCTAATCTTGATATCAATTCAAATTCGTTCATCATCATTATTGCAAATATTGTTCTAATTGATTATCATAAGAAATCATTATTGCAAATATTGTTTTATCGATTATCATTAAGAATTATTATTTCGTATTAATCATTAATCAAACTTATTGATTAAATAATTCGTTATTATTGTTCTTATTACGAATTTTCGAGTTGTTTACGGGAAATTTATTTTTCTGTTTTGATTAGGTGTCTAAGTCCATCATTGGGACAGGGACTGTATGTATATTGCTTGATCTGTTCTATCCCTGTGCCCACCCTCTCCCTCACACTGTTCTGCGACCTTCGGACGAGCGAGCCTTCAGCAGCATTTCTGATGCCAGCAGGGCAAGCCACCGAACAGCAGCCACGACGCAGCAGAAGGATCGCAGATCTCCAACAACAACAGCCACCTGCAGATCGACAGCAGCCGCAGTGCAGCACTCAGATGGCGAACACGTCAAACAGCGGAACGCCATCTGAAAGTTCGACATCTGGCAATGCCGANAGTCAGTCCGTTTCTCAGACTTCCGTTGCATACATACTCATCCTATATTGGTTGATCTTTGGTTCTGCCCCATACTCGTTGATAAAATCACGAGTATGTAACAGCTTTGGTATCGGAGCAGACCATTTCACGGATCTGCTCACCAGGTAAGTCTGATTAGGAAGAAGATTGCTTTTTCAATCTTCCAAATCAGCTCTGTATTACTATCGAGTTCAAAGTTGCAATTTTTTTTTCTTTTTTCGGTATTCTGTTTATTTCGGCATTTCCGTTTCAATTCGGTATCCGGACTTGTAATCCGGATTTCTGTTTTATTCCGGTATGCTGTTTAATTGGGTTCCGATTAATTAATACTTATCCGATAATTTGTTAGATTCGGATTTCTGATTTTAAAACGTTATTAGTGTTAATCAGCATCCTGTTTAATTTCGGCATTCTGATTTCAATTCAGCATTCCGTTTTTACTTTCGGCATTCTGTTGTAAATCCTGCATTTCGTTTTTCTTTTGGGATTTCCGTTTTCTTGCAGTATTGGAAAGTAGGGTTATGAAAAATTTTTGGGTGCTTTAATCAACCTGGGAATTTCGAACGTTTTGGAACCGTAATACCGGACATTCCGCGGAAACGCGGAAAATTAGGGTTGGACTCCGAAATTTTCGCAGAATTTTTTTTTCGCTCCCTTGTTTGAGAAATCCCGAAAACGGACTTAGGCCTTTAAAAATCGGATTTTTGCCGGTGGAAATTCCCGAAATTTCACGTTTTTGAAAATTCGAGTGTTTTTTCTCCTGATTTTTCCGAATTTTTTTTTTGGCAAACTAATCCGAATCTGACCCTCAGAATTGCAACTTCCGGGTAGTTCACTAATTAAACGGTGAACTCCCGGACCATACATTGATCTCAACAGATACCTAATCTTGATATCAATTCAAATTCGTTCATCATCATTATTGCAAATATTGTTCTAATTGATTATCATAAGAAATCATTATTGCAAATATTGTTTTATCGATTATCATTAAGAATTATTATTTCGTATTAATCATTAATCAAACTTATTGATTAAATAATTCGTTATTATTGTTCTTATTACGAATTTTCGAGTTGTTTACGGGAAATTTATTTTTCTGTTTTGATTAGGTGTCTAAGTCCATCATTGGGACAGGGACTGTATGTATATTGCTTGATCTGTTCTATCCCTGTGCCCACCCTCTCCCTCACACTGTTCTGCGACCTTCGGACGAGCGAGCCTTCAGCAGCATTTCTGATGCCAGCAGGGCAAGCCACCGAACAGCAGCCACGACGCAGCAGAAGGATCGCAGATCTCCAACAACAACAGCCACCTGCAGATCGACAGCAGCCGCAGTGCAGCACTCAGATGGCGAACACGTCAAACAGCGGAACGCCATCTGAAAGTTCGACATCTGGCAATGCCGAACCCTTACCGGTCTGTCCGGTGCAAGGGCCGAATGAGCCCCTCCCGGACTTCATTCAGAGAGTGCAGGACTATACAGCCACACTCACCCTTGCCAAAGAACGGCAAGAGGCTGCCGAAGCAGAGAGACTACGGCTAGCAGCGGAAGCTGCAGCCCAAGCCCAGCGTCAAGCTGAGGCAGACCAGTTGGCGACCGATCAGCTGAACGCCGACAGCGCAGAACTTCTGATTTCTAGCCAAGAACAGTGGACAGCGGTACTCAACGGGATGCGTTATGTTCCCGTAGCCGACACCGAGCCAACGACAGAGCTACAGGAGAGGCAAAACCTGGCAGACATTCTACTCAACACAATGCGCGCAGTCATCTGGAACAGCACCATGGGGGAACTTCATTCCAAGTCCACACGGCAGCTGCAGCAAGATCTGAACCACAACGTGAAGACACTTGCCGCAGCCATCAAGGTCGCGGACTCCCAGCTGAAACAGTTGGACACCCGCATTGCTACTCTGGAGACAAGGCCTCCCCAAGCAGCGCCAGGCTGCACGACAGACACGACGAAGCAGCTCAACGGGCGCATCGATCATGTCGTCAATCTCATCGGCGACCTAGGTGCTTTCACTGGGCCGGACACGATCAGTAGCACGGTGGCCGCCATCAAGACGGACATCACCAAGCTGCAGATGAGACCGGGCGCCGCTACTAAGAGTTTCAAGATGCCGCAGTTCACCATCAGCAAGTTCGACGACTACAACAAGACAGACACTTTGACATGGTGGCAAGGTTTCCTCACGGAAGCATCTTGTCGCACTGTCCCGGCTGAAGACATGTTGAAGGCGCTATACCTACAACTGATTGGAGGAGCGCAGGCATGGATGAATCACCTGGCGGCTACCAAGCAATGCACCATCGCCGAACTGCACACGCACATTACGTGGAAGGAGTTCGAGCAACTATGGTTCACTCGATTCATGGTCCGCAACGTCGTGAAGGTGGCCATGAACGAGGTGTACACTTGCTCACAGGGAAGAATGCCAACTCGAGACTGGACGATTAAGTGGCAGAAGATAGTGACCACGCCAGGCTTCGATTTGAGTTTTACAAACCAACGATCCGAGTTCTTCTCGCGATCATGCGCAGGATTGAGGTCGACGCTCGGCAACGAGTACGACTATACCTCGTTCCAGGCTATTCTGGACCGCGCAAACCTGGTCATCCAAACGGACGACAAGGCCGCTAACGAGAAGCAGTCCCAGCCGCACTATGTGGCCAAGCCGGCCTATCAATGACCAGCACATAACAATGTTGTGATTTTTGAAGAAACAGTCGATCTCCACGCTGCAGCAGCATCCTCGAGTGATGGAGGAATTGTAGCAGCGCTCCCGCCGAAGCGTCCCAAGAGAGTTCGGAAGAACAAGGCGACACAAGAGACGGCATCGACGGGAACTGGGCAGCAGCCATGGACGACTTACAAGATAACCAAGGAAATCTATGACCTTCGTCAACGGTACGGGTATTGCCTTTGGTGCAATGGAGTCACTCCTTTGACCGCACAATGCCCGGAAAAGGGCAAGGCACGCGTACCCCGTCCAGCTAACTCGGGAAACCGAGTTACGCAAGGAGAGGGGCGACGTCTCTCCTCACTCCGCCGGACCYGGTTGCCTTGCTAGCAATCGATGTCAGTACCGGGGAGCATGCGTTAGTCGCTGATTCTCGTGCTACGTACGAGGATTATGCCGCCCAGCTGGTACCACCACTAGACCAGCCGAGCCACGTGCACTTAGATTGCGTATGCGCAGCCTGTACACCGTCGGCAAGTGATCCGGTCAGTTCGCCACTGATTTCCGAGGACTCGACGACGTGGTCAAGACTTGAGGAGCTTGACCCGCTCACGAGAGAGGACTTCGCTTGGATGCCTCTACCCTCAACCGGAACCTTGCCAAGGCCGCATTGCAACGCCTTGATGGCAAATCTACGCTCCTATTTGCACACTACAGTACCAACTCCGTTGACGGACGACGGGGTAGCGGTTGTCGATCTCCGCTCCTATCTTGCGAAGATTGACCGTGAGTACGCCACCCAAAGGTATGCCAAAACCGACGCGCCTTTGCTCTATATCCGCATTCAAATCGGAAAGGCAACCTGTAGTGCCTTGATTGATTGCGGAGTGTCTCGCAACTTTATGAGCCAAGCCTTTATGGCCTGCGCAGGTTTTGGCCCGCGCGTTCGAAGGAAGACGCAACCCACGCAAGTTACACTCGCGGACGGCCGCACGCAAAAGTCGATTGACCGATGCGTCGACGGCGTTCCGGTATACTTTGCGCCACTTGCGTGCGGGCCGGTGTCTTTTGACATCCTCGACACCAAGTTCGACATGATTCTAGGCATGTCTTGGTTGCGTAGCGCCGATCA